ATTATAATAATTGTAGAGGAGTATTTTGATATGGACTAATATTGTAATATTATAATAATTCTAGAGGAGTATTTTGATATGGACTAATATTGTAACAATTTTGGCAGGAGTATCATGATACAGTGATGTTGGATTTTAAAGACGTACTTTGATATTATAATACTGGCTTTCTGAAGGATACTTAAATATTGTAGTAATATTGTACTACTGAAATAATCTTAGACGGGTGTATGGACTGAAATTGTAATATCGTAATAATTTTGGAAAGGTACTTTAATATGTTGATATTAGATTTTAAAAGATAGGCTTTGATATTACAATATTGAATTTCAGGAGGATACTGTAATATTGGATTCTGAAGGCATACTTTGATATTACAATATTAGTTTGTTCAGAGTGACACGTTGATTTATTTCAACTATTTCATGGAAGGTTTTTAACAACGAATATAATAATGCCAAAATAAAAGTATTAGAAAGTATCATCACGGAGTGATGACAAGCTTGGAAGAGTTGACAAGAAAAATATAGAAGCTTCATATACGGATTCTGGACTTTTTTAAAAACTAGAACTGTTAACATTTGAAAAACAATATACGTATCAAAGTCATCACATGGGATAACAGGATGAAACATCTCGATGGACGAACATCCTTCGCGAAGAAGTTATGGAAACCGCAGTGAATGAGAGTTTCGTGTGCACGACAATCGGTCGATGACGCCGTCGCTTATCACGGACATCCTTTGTGAAGCACGGATGATAATGGTACCGCAGAGAAGAGGGCACGAAGCGCGCTCTCTGAATACAGAGCGATGAATCGAAGAAGATCAACTACATTGTGTTTTCCCACTTACCAAATGCAGGTTCATCTTTTTTTATTTCCCTTCGAAGACGATAATCAGCCAAAGGCAATATTTACCAATATGCAAGAATTTCTACTCAAACTCCACTCCTTCCTCAGTCTGCAATAATTAATAATTCGCTGCTCTCCCAACAACTTGATTTCACATGTCGTGTGCCGATTATTTATTTCTCAATTTTCATTTATTCCCAAGGACGAAGAAACAATTATTTTCTACTCTCCAACAACTTAATTTTACATATCGTGTGCCGATTATTCATCATTCATTTTATCCAATTTTATTTCCGAGGATGAAGGAACAATTATTTTTCCAAGTCGAGTACGAGATCCAAGATTCTTCCACATTTTGTTAGATAAAATTTACGTGGCGTATACAAGCGATACAAATTAACGTGCCATTAAAATCCGTGGCCATTTCTTCGCCGAGTGGCAACGGAAAGTATCACGGGACGAAAATGATGCAAACCAGAAACGGAGTAAGTAACATAATTAATCGGGCGCAAGGTCTCCGTTGCATGTTTCGCAAGGAGAACTTTCGACACCGGTTCGCGATCGTGCAGTTTCTGCTCGTTCCTCTAAGCCCGGCCACGAGGAAATAAAAGGCTTCTTATCTCCGTGGCGTTCGGAACACACGTTGCAGAGCAGACACGCTCGCGCGGATCGAGCGGAATGGAATTACGAGGTCGTTGCCGGCGTGTTCATTAGAGGAGGAAACGGTGAGACGACGCGATGAACGTGTAATCGAATGCGCATATGTTAGAAAAGAAAGGAAAAAAATAATAGTATGGAAGAAAGAAAAAAAAAAAAAAAA